CATAAATGCATGAGGAACTGGTTGCATGTCCAGTTTCTCAACATCATTTGGTGGACTTTGTTTAAAACTCAGCTTAAAATGAGTAGCAAGAGGAGTGTTCATCACCTTGGCTTTTTCCATATGGAATCTCCACAACACCTTTTTAATATAGTATTCTTGTTGCAACCAAAACTTCTATCATGCATGATTGTTATACTAAGAATCTGTTTAGCAACTTCCATGTCTTTTATGACAAATGACTTGCCTAATTGCTTCTTCAACTTATCAATTTTGGAAACATATTTCCTAACAATAAGCATGTCATCAACATACAATAACAAGATAATGAAATCGTTGTAAAATAAATTTCAGACAAAAAAACACAATAGTTAGAAGTTATCTTCTTGTAACCCTGCTCACACATAATAGACTTAAACTTTGTATACCATTTACCTCAAAGTTTACTTCAAACCATATAGGTTCTTTGTCAACCTACACACATACTATTCTTTTCCTTCAACAAGAAAACCACCGGGTTGTTTCATGTAGATCTCTTCCTCCAAATCACCATGAACAAAATTAATTTTCACATCCATTTGTTCTACCTCTAAATCAAAAGTAGTAATCAAACTCAACATAATTCTAATGGATATCATTTTCACCGCATATGAAAAGATCTAATTAAAATCTAACATATTTTCTTTGACTAAAGCCTTTCACTACTAATCTGACTTTATAGCTCGGAGATGTAAGTTACTCTCAAGTTTGCCTCTATAGGTTCACCTGTTATCTAAGGCTTTCTTACCCTTAGGCAACATCACCAAATCAAAAGTGTGATTATTATGCAAGGATTTCATCTCATCCTTCATAGCATCCTACCACTTTGTTTGTCTTCACTTTCTTTGACCTCTCCAAAACACTCAAGTTCTCTTCATTTGTCAAAATACATACTCATTAGGAAAATATCTCATAGACAATTATCTTTCCTTTTTAGACCTCTTAAGTTGGCTTGTGATGGCCTAGGTGCATCATTAAAACTATCATCCTATGACATCTCATGTTCCTTTTCATCAACATCTTCAATAGGAACATCTACCTCATCTCCAATTGTTGCTCACCATTTTGAACATTAGTATCCAGATTATGAATAGACGATCAAACTAGATCATCATCAACCACGCCACTATCTGCCTTGGGTGTAAACTTCTTCCATGAACTTCACATCACGATTTCTAGCAAACTTCTTCGCAACAGGATGATAGAATTTGTAACCAAATGCATCCTCCTCGTAGACAATAAAAATGTATTGTCTTGTCTTTGCATTCAACTTGGATCTCTTACCCTTTTGAACATACACAAATGCCTAACAATCAAAAACTCTCAAGTGATCATACTTGAAATTCTTGTCAAACCAAATTTTATTTGGCACTTCATTGTTCAAAGCAACAAGACTAAGATTGATAACATGCATCGTCATGTTCAATGCCTCACCCTAAAAATGCTTAAGTAACTTAGCTTCATAAAACATATATCTCACTTTCTCAATCAATGTCATGTTCATCCTCTCTGCTAAAACATTTAGTTGAGGAGCTTTAGGAGGAGTTTTTCATGTGCATTATCATACTGTCCTACAGTAGTCATCAAATGGTCCATAATACTCACCACCGTTATCAATATGAATGTGCTTAAACTTTTTGCCTAACTACCTCTTAACTAAGGTATGAAAACTCTTTGTACTTCTCTAACACTTGGTCTTTTTTCTTCAATGCATAGACTCATAGTTTCTTAAAATATTCATTAATAAGGGTAACAAAATAAATTGCACCACCAAAAGATTTTACCTTCAAAGGACTACAAATATTTGAATGCACCAATTTAAGCAACTCGATTTTCCTAAATAGATGATATTTTTTGAAGGATACTCTAGTCTACTTACCAACCATGCAATGAGATCATAACTCTAACTCTACATTATTCAATCTTTGAAGCACATCTTTTTTGGCTAAACAAGTCAACACCTTCTCATTGATATGACCAAGCTTTCGGTGCCACAAAGATGCCTCCAAATACACGACATTCACGTTGTCTTTAGCAACCAAAACTTTGGTCTAGTAAAACATAGAATTTTTCTCCCCATTGGCCACAATCAAGTTACCTTTAGTGAGTTTCCACTTTTCAAAATCAAAGTGATTATTATAACCACCATCATTAAACACTTGCACAAAAATTAAACTAAAATGGACATATAGAGCATGCTTAACTCTTTTAAGCAAATAATTGCATCCTCATGTTGATTTGCAAGCAAACATCACCAACATTAATCACGTTGGATATGCCATCATTACCCATCTTCATAACTCCAAAAGCACCTAGAGTATATGATGTGAGGAACCTATTCTTGGTTGTAACATGCTATGTAGCTCCACTATCCATTATCTACATGCTCTCATTAAATACAAGTTTAATTGCATCAAGATCATGGAGAAGAATACGATCATCACTAATAGTATTGGTAACACGATCACCATCATCATGATCTATCTCCTTATAAAGTGCACCACTATTTGCCATTTGCAAAGAAACATCACCATTAGGAACAACACTAATCATGGAAACTCGAAATGTCTCCCATGAATCAGGTAGAGAATTTAATAAGAATAGTCTCAATAAATCTTCATCAAATTTTATACATACTCTAAATAGTTGATCAAAATGCCCTTGAAATCCACTTAAGTGATTTGTAATGGGTGTCCCCTCCTTGTTCTTTAACTCCACGAAATTCTTTAGTAAGTATAATTTATTAACCCATAATTTAGAAGTATACATGGACCCAAGCTTATCCCATAAGATTCTCGCATATGTCTTATTGGCAATAAAATTGTAGATATTATCATCAATGAACTGCCTAATAAATCCACACACCCATTGATGCTCAAAATCTCATTTTTCATTACACTTGGATTCTGGCTTATTAAAAGCAAAGATAGGAAGATGCAAATTCGTCACCAATAACAAGTTCTTCATCTTGCCATTCCATAGGCGATAATTTATTCCATTCAAAGAAATCATCTTCATATGTGCCCCATCATTCAAACAAGCCAAAAAAACTCCTTAACCAAAGAGCTTTGATGTCATTTTGACGGGAGAAAGCCCAACATAATAACAACAACTCAATAAAAAAACCGTAGAAATTAAATGTTTCTATTTGTAAGAATTAACAAGGAGCACCAATAAAATAAAACAAAAATAAATAATCCAAATGCACGAGACACAAAGTTTTTTTAACATGTAAAATCCCTTAATGTAAGAATAAAAATCACGAGTCATCCATATTAAAGAAAAACTCCATTATGATCAATAAGAGCATAAAAGAGTGTCAAACAAACCATGTCAAATAAACGCACCAAATATTATTTATAATCAATTAAAACAAACTAAATACTATTGCTCACAAATGAGAAATAAGATGAAAAGCCCTAAAAATATAGTTGTTACTACCAGATATTTTTTTCTCGCTTTAGACATCCTTTAGACAATCTAATCATTGAAAATAAAGAACTATGTCTTACGAACCTGTTATCCAAAAATTATTCTAATTCAATGGTAAATGAATCTTCAATTGTAAATAAAAAATTATTGTTTGGTAGATATGTAAATTCAACAATGAAATTTTTTCTCTTTTCTCTATATTTTGTTATTGTTATTTCTTAATAATGAGTCACTTTTTCAATTATAATTTAATCTATTTCCATTTAATTAAGGGGAACATAATAGACTTATGCAAATTTATTGTCCATATAAAAAGAAACTCGAAACCCAACTGTACTAACAAAAATTTAAAATTCTAGCTCTACTTACTAAGAGTAATCCATGCTAAAATTTTATTTTTTCCTTCTTGTAGTCATCAACTTGGATGTTGAAAGTCAAAACCTTTCTCCAAAAGAGGATTATGCATTGCAAGTCACGGAGTTGCAACTTATGTCATGGATCTATTTGGTGTAACAAAAATTACATGGAAAAAAATATATTTAAAATAGTTAATTAAAAAAATAAATCATGATAAAAAATAAAAAATATTTATAATATTTGTAAAATTCATGATAATTTTAATGATCAATTTTCTCTTTAATAAAAAAAAATACTTTATTTTCATTTCATTTGATAAACATTTTTAAATAAACTTTTTTTTTTCTAGAGCTATTTTTGAAAAAAATCTGACTCGTGTAGTAGATGGGCTGAAAATGGCGCGATATAATGTCGGTGTGGTGAAGACGATTAGCCGTATATATCAGTTCAAACGGCGGATACAAATCACCTACCGCTTCCTATGTGGGCCTATAAAAGCCCACAATCACAAACCGCCACGCGTCCAACTGCACTCAACAACACGTGCGAAAAATAATTGTCACGGACCCGCGGATTTCTCTACTATTTCAAAAACTAACTAAACAAAATTAAAAGGTTTAAATCGAGTAATATTACTATTTTTGTAATCACATGGCAAAAGTGTCAAACACTTTTAAAATCTCGCGCGTATATGATATATATTATAGTACATTTTGATTTTGTACAACTAATATCAATGAAAAAATTAAATTTTGTAAAGGATTAAATATTCATTTAGCCATATAATTTTATAATTTTTATAATTAATACAACCTATAATTTTTAGTTTCAATTTTAACTCTTACACATAAATTTTTTTATTAGTTTCATCATTTATTTGTTATAGAGATTATAAACTATAAAAAAATTAATGAAATTATAAATATCAAATAAGTAACCCAAAATATTCTTATTGTGTATCACATTATATTTGACCTAACTTTATTTTCTTAAAAATATAAAGCATTAAAATGTATAGAATTTTTAAAATTAAATGATAATTTTTTTAATTTTGAAATATGATAATTTTTTTTTTATTAAACCAAAAATAAAATAATATGAATGTAGAATAGACGATTGCTAAGTGAAGGCAACCAAAGGTTGGATGAGCTTAACCATGGTTTGGGTTGGGTTAGCACGGGTGGCGCACGCCGTTGCTTTGCTTTCTTGTGTGCGTCAACACCGAATGTCTTTCTGTTGTGCGTTTTATTCCTCTCTCTCGTTCTCTCTCTCTCTCTCTCTCTCACTACCGTCTACCTATAACAATTCCTGAACTCGGCGCCGATCATTCCACGTCACTCGCCGCCGGTCCCTTCTCTATTCAATTCGCCCTTTTCCCAAAATTACAGCACCTTTTCCTTTCTCTTTATCCCTCGAATAAACAATTGTGCGCTTTCGATTTGGATAACAAGCCTCGCACTCCTCCGCCGAAGAACTGGTGTCGCTGTTAATGTGGCAGAGAATTGAACTTCGCTGACGGTGACGCTGACGGTTCTTCAACTCGAAATCGGCGAGTGTCGGCATTGGCGAATGGGGGTTCGGTGAGTGCGTGTTAGGTTGGATCCGACGCCGTTTGGGATCTCGGCGGAGAAAAAGGGGGATCGAAGCGACGTTTAGGGTTTGGCGGACATGAATAGCGCATTGGGGAGAGAATAAATGTGCAGGGCGGAGTGGGAAGGTTTTATGGGTTTGAAGAGGTGGGAGAGTAAGGTTCAGAAGGTGGGGATGGGGTTAGGGTCGGCTTCAGGTTCGGCTTCGGCTTCGTCTCGTTCCAAGATGAAGATGTGGATGATACGGGCTACCACATCGGTGTTACTGTGGACTTGCGTCGTTCAGTTAACGGCTCTCGGTGACATGTGGGGTCCCAGAGTTTTGAAGGGTTGGCCTTCTTGTTTCACTCACGAGTCCGCTGTTAGAGCATTGGACATGGAGTTACCCTCTCCGCGTCCTCCTCTTCTCCCTCCCAAGAGTCAGTTTTTCAAACACCCTTTTCAATTCATGTTGCCTTATCTATCGTTAATTCCTTTTCTTCTCTCCACTCACCAGGAGTTTATAAGAACAACGGATACCTCATGGTCTCCTGCAATGGAGGGCTCAACCAAATGAGAGCAGCAGTCAGTGCTTCATGCTCATCTTTTGCTTTTCTTCTTATTCGCTTTCCCATTTGTTTTTCTCATTATCTTATGTGTTTTTACAGATTTGTGACATGGTGGCTATTGCCAGATATTTAAATGTCACGCTTATAGTTCCCGAATTGGATAAGACATCCTTTTGGGCTGATCCCAGGTGAGCCTTTAATGTTGAAGGAATCTTCTGCGTGCTACTTGTTTTTGAGTTAGGATTTCTTCTTAATCAGTGTTTGTTCTTTTGTGTCATAGTGACTTCCAAGACATATTTGATGTGGATCATTTTATCACGTCCTTGAGGGATGAAGTGCGGATATTGAAAGAGTTGCCTCCCAGGCTCAAGCTGAAAGTAGAACGTGGGTTTCTTTACACTATGCCGCCTGTCAGTTGGTCGGATATATCTTACTATAAGAACCAGGTTAGTTTTATTCTAGTCATGTAGTGTCCTTGAGCCAATTAGTTACTAGTTAGGAGTTTAAAAACTGTCAGCCTGGCTTGTGATTGTTGTTTTCAACTCAACTATGGTGTTTCTAGTTTCTCATTTTACTAATTTGACGCAAATGATGTGTTTGTTATTGTAGATTCTGCCATTGATACAGAAGTACAAAGTTGTTCATTTGAATAGAACTGATGCTCGGTTGGCTAATAATGGTCAACCTATAGAGATTCAGAAGCTGCGTTGCCGAGTTAATTTTAGTGCTCTGAGATTTACTTCTCAGATAGAGGAGTTGGGGAGAAAGGTGATCAACCTTTTAAGGCAAAAAGGTCCATTTCTGGTGCTCCATCTGAGGTATGAGATGGACATGTTGGCATTTTCTGGCTGTACTCAAGGTTGCAACAGGGATGAGGTGGAAGAGTTAACAAGAATGAGGTGATTATTAATCTGCATAGTCATGCTATTTCTTGATTTCATTGTTTTTCTTTTATTCTGATCACCATGGACATTGCAAAGAGATTTGATACGAATCTCTCTCAAATTTCAATATTCTGTGAATTGTCAGATATGCTTATCCTTGGTGGAAGGAAAAAATAATTAATTCCGATTTAAAAAGAAAAGACGGTTTATGCCCTCTAACACCTGAGGAGACTGCCCTTACGCTTAAGGCTCTTGACATTGATCGGAACATTCAAATCTACATTGCAGCTGGGGAAATATATGGAGGGGAAAGGAGAATGGCAAGTCTTGGGAAGGAGTTCCCAAAATTGGTAAACATCAAAGCTCAAGGAAACATGGTAATTGTAATGTTTGTTATTGTTCCATGTCTTACCTTTTTTGCGCTTTGTCAAAACAGGTCAGGAAGGAAACACTGTTGGAGCCATCTGACCTTCGGTTCTTCCAAAATCACTCATCCCAGATGGCCGCATTGGATTATCTTGTCTCATTGGAGAGTGATATTTTTGTTCCCACTTATGATGGAAATATGGCCAAAGTGGTTGAGGGCCATCGCAGGTAAAGTTTTGCTAGTAAAATATGTTATTTGTGAACTCTACTACTTTCACACCTCCTCATTCGTTAATCAAATATAATTTTGTTTCTATCAATAACTGCACAAACTGGTATTTTATATTTCTTTTGGAATGTTGGCATGTGTCTTCTGTTAAAATACTAAAACACTTCATGTTGAAGCCATTTATGTATTCACATCTTCTGAGAGATCAACTTGCTGTTATTGTTGATTAGAGATGATACTAACAAAGGCAGTCTGGCTCTGGCATAGTTTAAGGTTTTTGGTCCTTTAATGTTGTCAGTATTTTTGTGACAAGTGAGTTGACTTTGTACCCTCTCCAATGCTTGTACAGATATCTTGGGTTTAAGAGAACGATTTTATTGAACAGAAAGCTCCTAGTCGATTTGATAGATCAGTACAATAATGGAGTGCTGAACTGGGATGAGTTCTCTTCGGCTGTGAAGGAAGCTCATGCGTATCGCATGGGTAGCCAAACTAAGAGGCTAGTGATCCCTGACAGGCCCAAAGAAGAGGATTATTTCTATGCCAACCCACAGGAGTGTTTGGAACCATCAAATGATCTATCTGTTGGCGTTGAGTAGTACGTGAGGAATGTGTTGGGTAATAGTGGAATTTACTTGTGCCATCTCCTGGTGCACTTGGTTTTCTACCACAGATAGTTTTCCACGCAATAACAAGGTCGTGAAAAGGTGACACCCATAAAGAAAAAGTGGGTAAACTCTAGTCAAGCAAAGCAGCCGGGGGACACTTTTTTTAATTTATTTTATATATGCAAATAATCAATCCATCACATTCATGTATAGAAGCTACCCTGCCATTACAGGGTGAGAGCAGTTCAAACAGCATTGTAGACGGAGGAATTCTTATACAAATTTGGATTACTGCAACTGGCCTTCGTGGAAGCTTAATTCGTTGGTATTTGCCTCACCTTTTATTTTTTTTTTATTTTTTATTTTATTTTTATAATATATAAATTATAATTTTTTTTCTTCTTCTTTCTTTCTTTTGCCTCCTCTTTTTAAATTTGCCTCCATCATTGTGGTTTTCTGAATTATACAGCAAAGAATTTGTTTTTTCGTGTATTAATGCCTCCTAATTTCATATTTCTTTTCTGGTCTATTGACTCTGTTCCGGGAATGCTAGGTTGGACGATCTTTTTTGTATTCTCTTCTCATATATTTATAGACAATGAGTGTCATTTCTGAAATAATTAATTCATAATTGCTGAATGAAGACTTAGCTATCAACCCTAAAGTAGTAGTTGAAGAGCAAATAATACAACATGGGATAGGAACTCATGTCCTGTTCCAAGTCTCTAGCATGTTAGTGTCGTGTTTATACTTTATAGATAAGCTTATAATTTGGTAAGGGGGAGTTTGAGGGGAGGGTGTTACATTACTCCTTGGAGCCTATGTTCCCGAGAGAGACATGTTAACAATAAAAGACAATGATCGATTGTGGCAAAGAAAGGCACTAGACAAAAGTGGTCCTCTGTGATTTTTGGTTTATTCCACCATACCCGTCATTGAAGATAAAATTATGAGTCATGTGATCGTTGGAGGAATATGCCGTGTTACCGTTACTTTTGACGTCTTGCTAGGATATTGATCGTGTATTGAATCGAAACGTACAAGATTCTGCTGTTTTGATTGTATCTAATTAATTATTTATTATGCTACCGGTGAATGTAAATAAGTCCTTCCTAGGACACCGGTTAAATAAATAAAAGTAAACAATATCTAATAATTTTTTTAATGATATCAAAAACATAAATGCTATGTATTCAATATTCTAAGAGATTGAAAGATTTAATAGTGCATATAAAAAATTGAGAAAGAACTAATAAATATTATTGTATTTTAATTAGTTATGAAATTAATCCTTTGGACCATATTTGATGTGGTTTTTTTCGGTACATATATGTGATGTGGTATGATTAAATAATTGTCTTCCTAGAGTAGTGGTTTTCAAAATCAATGTTCTAACGATATAGAGCAAGGCTGTCAAAAAATTAAAAAAGTGCTTTTGTAACGCAGTTCCAAACACGGGTTAAACTTTATTTCTATGGAAATCAGTCACTATATCTGAGCCTCTTGCCGAAAAAGCCATTTTAGTGTAATTAAAAAAGTTAACATCAAATTAGTTGATCAGTAATATAAGAGTAATATTAATTTCTCTCTAACAATTCACATGATTTTAAGCATTCAATCATAAAAAAATGACATACCAACGAAGGTTAGGCGCAATAATAAAGAACTGTCATTCTAGGAGGATGAGTAAATTTCAAATGGGAGAAGACAGGGATTGAGAGGAGCTTTTAATTAGTAATCAATCGCATCGTCTTTGCACTAAATAATGACTTTAATGTAACTGTTTTTTTTTAACAAATGTTTCTTATCATAATTGAAGTGTCACTTATTTGCTGTTAGCCTTTTATTTAATTTAATATAAGGGAACCCCTTGTAGCAGAGTAGCTCCATGAGCAGGATGTTGTCATGGCCAAAGAACATAGAAGTCGAACAATCTAAGAACCCAAGTTGTCTCTAAGAATGACACCAATCATCTTGAGTTAGATGATCATGTAGATTAAATTTGACAGTATCAGGAGGTGGGGGTCTCTACTTAACAGAGTGGAGTGAAGAATTTATAATGTGGAAAGATATTCCTGAGGCCATGTGAATAGACTCACGCCATCAACCAGCCGGAAGAGTTAAAAGAGTAAACAAGGTAGGATGTCATCGAGAGAGGATGGGTACCAGTAGTAGGATTTGTTATCAATTCTGTTGAATAAATATATTTTTTATACTTATTCCTGTATTTGTGTGGATAGCAAGTACTCGCGTATTATTTTAATATTTGTAGGTATTCGTAGATCTTCGTGAATATTTATTTAAAAATAAATAAAATTTCAAAAATATTTTAATAATAAATTTTATTTATTTTAATAATTTATTTTAAAATAATAATTTAAAAGTTAAAACTTAAATTATTCAAATATTATATATGGTTTTATTAATAAAGATTCTTCAATTTAAAAACTAAATTTAATTGTTAAGGCAATTTATTCTCATAACTTAAAAAAAATTAATATGTAATTATGTTATTGAATATTAGTGGGTATCCACGAATACGAATACTATGATATCAATAACCAACTTGTTAATGCAAGTATAGAAAATATTAGTATTTGTAAATATCCATTTACAATATTCATTTACTAAATATAGCAGATTTTATCCATGGATATCTACGAGTATAATTCTTTTTGACATCCCTAAAGTGAAGACATATTGCGGGTTTGGTTTTGTTTCGATTGTAAATCTGTTGACATCGTTAGGATTATTGCATATGGGATATTGTCCGCTTTAACATTCGTTGAATTGTCACAGTTTTGTCCTAGAGAAGATGCCTCGGTAGGTTAAGGAGGGAAGACATTTATAAATTACTTTTAGCCTCAATTCCTAAGCGATGTGAGACTTTTAGACATAATGGAACAAGTCCCTTAGTCGAGGCTAAGGGGCAAGAGTGGCATGGACCCTCCTTTTAGTGTCAATGTTTTGATCGTAAGTCCGTTGACATTGTTAAGGTCATTATGTCTGAAGTATTGTCCACTTTAATGCTCGTTGGGTCACTATGATTTTGTCCTTGAAAAAATGTCTCGATGAGTTAAGGAGGGACTATCCTAAGTAGGACCAACTTGAAATTGACCATCATGCTTAAAAAATTGACTCAAAAAGATGTTAGTAGGACCAACTTGCAACCGACCAACACACACAAAAAATCAACTCAAAAAAATGTGAGTAAGATTAGCTTGTAACCAACCACTATGCACAAAAAAATTGACTAAAAAAGATGTGAGTAGGACTGGCTTGCAACTAGCCACCATGCATAAAAAATTAGCTTAGAAAGATGTGAGTAGAAACAACTTGCAATCAACCAGCATGCACAAAAAATCTACTCAAAAAGATGTGAGTAGGGCCAACTTGCAACTGACCACCTTACACAAAAAATTAGGGATTAAGGCTAGGGCAAGTGAATTGTTTTAAGATTATTCTAAGAGGCCTTGACTAATCGGCAAAAAATGGAGGGTTGGCTACAACCTTTACACACCTCGTGCTTAAGGCTAGGGGGCATGTGTATTATCTCAAAAATATTTTGAGAAGTCTACACATTGTATAATGCATAAGTTAGCAGTCTGAATTTGAGGATTGTAGAATATTTAACAAGTTGAGAGATTTAATATGAGGATCAACACCATTAATGCATAGATTGAATTTCATAATGTAACACCAATCATTATGAGATTTTAGAGAGAAAATTACAAAAATCATGAAACTCATAAATGGTAACTATGGTATAAATGAAGATCTCTAATCCTAAAGAAAAATAAATTACACATTCTAAATGCTATGGACTTGGATGACGGTTAGGTTTTTCCTAACGTGTTTCCCATATCAGGACAAGTTTAAAGTGAGGGGGGGATAGGTTTTAAGGAAAGAGAGAAAAGGAAATATCTCTTCAAGGGAAGAGGTGGAAAAAGGGTAAGAAGTATTGTATCAGATAGGTCTCAGAATTGGATGCAGAGGACCTGTTGATTCTCAACTTTATAACTATAATAATGCCATCACAACTACATAACAAAGATCCAAATTACTTACCCGACCGAACAAGACATTTCCCAAGGTCGAGTAGTCCTTAGCCTGTTGAGCACATTCCTATGTGAGCAACATTGTAACATTTGATCGTTATGTGATAATAAAAGATCTTGGATGCACTTAAATGTCCTATTGGCTAACAATAACATTTTCTCTTATATATATACACACTTGCATTTCACTTTTAGGAGGAATTCTCATTCTTGAGATTACACCCGTGCACTCTAAATACTCGGTTACTTTGGCATTAAAGTCCTTTTTACAGGTATAATTACCATTTTTAACCTCAAGGATCAAAGACTTTGGATGAGTACTTTTTTCCAATAAGTACAAGTATAAATTGAAATACAAATATATAAGAAGATCATGCAATAAGTTTATCAAAATTTATTTCATTAATTCATTATATTTAGATAAAATTTTAAAAATATTTAGGTGAATTTCAATTTATAATTTCAAATTTGCATAAAATAAAGAATAAATTATTTTTGAGATTAAAAGTACTTTTAAGTTTTCTTAATTGAAACCCAAGCAAACATCAATACTATGTAGTCATTGGTTTCAACCAATAGGAAAAAACCTAATTCATGTATATCTCTCCTAGTACGATTTCAAGTGCTTTTATGCAAGTCTCTTAAGACTTCACACTCCAAGTGTTTAACAAATGAAAATGAGAGTTATGATCAATTAAGTACAATAGATAATAATAAACAAAGTTTTTATCTTTCTAAAGTTTATATAATAAACACAAACAATGTTCACTCTAATGATTGAATAATAAATGTGTACATTAGCTTCTCTGGAATAAACCTATGTTTATTAACACACTTATGAAATTGAGATGTTAAGACTTTACTTTAGCATAAGGTTGTTAAAGTTGAGGGTTATTACTCATTCCATTGTGTTTAAAGTTTTGACTTAGAAGTGTGTTTAGCTATAAGACATTTTGTGCTTTCCACCATGTTCTAGATGTATATCCTTTATATAGACATCTCTCAAAACCTCAAGTTGAACATCACAATCATTTAATGACTACCCCAAGTCTTCCTTTTGCTTCCTCGAGGTATCCTTTTCTAATGTAAGATCTTTAATGTGATTAGATTTTTTAGCCTTGATGTGATGTGCTCAAGTGGAGTATTGAAGTAGGAGATGCTAGAACCCCGTCAGGAGACAATCTTGTTAAAAATGCTTCATCAGAAAGTAGGAGACAATGTTGTTATTTATTTTGTGATTTCACCTTTTTCCTAACAATAAATTGGTTGTGATTAAGGACCATATCCACTAAATACGTAGGACCTTGAGTAGAAGGCTTATCATTTTTTTTTGTTACTTCTTAGGAATTAGTTAGACCATAATAAAAGGACTTTGGTTCTTCTGGATACTCCTCTTGCCAATTCATCTAGATTGACAACAATAAAATCTTTTTTACCATGAGAAGTAGAAGTCAAAGCTTTTGGTTGGG